GCCCCGGCGGGCCTGGCGGCCCGGGTGTCGTGTGCAACGCGTGCGGGCGGCCGGGCCACTTCGCGCGCACCTGCCCGGACAACCAGGCCTGCTCAATCTGCCGGCAGCCCGGCCACTTCGCGCGGGAGTGCCCGAACAAGGGCGGCTTTGGCGGCGCCGGCGGCGGCGTCAGCGGCGGCGGCGACGCCGGCGGCGCCCGCGGCAGGTCCCGCAGCAGGGAGCGGGAACCCGAGCGGCGGCGGCCGGACGAGCGGCGGCGCGGCAGCCGCAGCCGAAGCAGGGAGCGCGAGCGGGAGCACCGCGGCGGCGGCGGGCGGCGCGGAGACGAGCGACGGGAGGGCGAGCGCCGCCAGCGCGAGCGGGAGCCGGAGCACCGCAGGTCCGGCGGCAGCCGCAGCCCCGGCCGGCGGCGCAGCAGCCGCCGCAGCCGCAGCCGTAGCCGCAGTGGCAGCCGGAGCCAGCGGCACGGCAGCAGCAAGCACCGTTCGTCGTCCGACCGCGGCGGCGGCGGTGACAGGGAAAGGAGCAGCAGGCGGTGATTTGGCCCAGGGCGACGCTGGCGGTTGCGGCGGCACGTTGGCTTCGTGTGTGCCTGCGTGCACGTGTCCGCCCATATGTCGTGCTTTGTCGCTGGTTTTGGTTGTCACACGCCTCTCGGTGCTGCTATCTCGATGTAACCAATCCCGTGATGCTGTCTGAGGTGCGAGTCACCTTGATGAGGGTATGCAGGGTTGCACAGACCGATTGGGGCATGCGTCGCCTAGCCGCTACAGCAACTACTCTCCCACAATAAAAAAAACAGCACTGAAGGCAACGAACACTGCGACAAAGCGGCAACGCGCCACGTGATTAAGGAAGCAAGCAGCTCGCAGGCCACCCTGCGTTTTTTACAGGTGCGTTCGCATCCACCCCGTCACTTGCACTGGACTTGGTGCCGCTCCCAATCTGAAGCGAGGCAGGCGGGCGTGCAGTAGTACACTTCTCTGCGCCGCGGGTAAGGCCAAGCAAAGGGCAGGATGGCGATTGAGCAGCGCCCGTGGCTGGCTTGTATGGGTGCGTTTCAGGGCTGCGACGATAGCGCGCCCCACCAGCAAGAGCCTCGTGCGGCACAGTTGCTTCCAACACAGCCTACAGAGTAGCCAGCAGCCGCACCAGCAGTGCCTTGCCCCTCAAAGCGCCCGCCCCCACCTGCAGCGCCCGCACTTCTTGTAGCCATGCCCCTCTGCGCCGCACTCCGGCCGCTCACACGTGTGCCGCTCGCCCTTTGGCTGCAGCGCCGCCGCACGTCGCGCGGCGGCCGTGCTGGCACGCGGGCGCGGCCCTGCCGCCGTCCCGCCCAGCCGCAGCGGTGGCTTCTTTTCGCCAACTCGCTCCCACGCGCCATCTGCTACGCCAACAGCTGAGGCCGTCCCCACCACGCCGCGCCGCGCGAGCCCGAGGGTCATGAGCCCGCCCTCCCCATCATCCTCTTGCTCAGAGTCCTCATTCTCAGAGGCTGAGGCCGCCTCGGGCGGCTTGGAAGTGGCCGGGGGCGCCGCGGCCACTGCTGCTGCAGTTCCTGCTGACTTGGGCTTGCGCTGCTTTTTCTTGGGCCGCTGCTTTGTGACCGCTCCTGTGCTGTTAGATGGGTCCGAGTCGGTATCGCCCGTGATCCACGCCACAAACCACTCCCACAATTGCCGTAACCACTGCAGTAGATTCATCTGTCAATGCCTAGATCGCTTCAGCGATCTTATCGGGTCGAAGACTGCTGATGAGCAATCGTGAAATCAACCAATAATTCTGATTATTGCGGTCAAATTGAGACGGCGAAACGGTGGTTTGTCGTTGTGCAGCGCCAGCTGCCATGGAGCAGGTCCAGAGGCAGGTGCTGGGCCGACCATGGACTTCATGCATCAAGTTCTTAAAGGTGCCCGCACATGCAATGCAGGCAGGCTTAAAGTTTTCCAGGCAAACCACCTTCAGCTCATGACAGTAAGCCCGTTCTGATGCAGTCGAGAAGCTGTTGCTCTTGTCCAGCAGGCATGGGAACCCGCACTTCTCCACCCCTTGACTGGTGCAGCGTGGTCCTACAGCTGCAGCGCTGTGCGAAGCCCCGCTTGCGCCTTGGTGGATCATGTGCAAGTCATAGATGTTGAAAACTTGGCTCGACGCACTGCCCTTGTGAAAGGCGCTGGCTGGCAGTTGCTTCCAACGGCCACTGCCTACCATGTGCTCGCCTGCAGTCCGGTCAAAACTTACATTTCTTCCAGTGCAATCAGCCTGTCTTTTCACCCGTGAATTTGCAAACATTGACACCGCACGCCCCACTTGGGTGGCGGCAAACTTGATAGGAAGATCAAGGTCAGTTCAATTGCATACAGAAGGCAAACACATCGGTTGCATTTGCTGTCATTGAAGCAAGACGCCCATTTACAATGCATCAAAACATGCTATTGCTTGACATCGTTGGTGGAGACAATAGTCGATGGATGATCCATTGCCGAGATAATAAGCCCAGGTCAACAAGGGGCGAGCCCCTCAGAAGTTGCAGAGCAGGCGCCGCGTCAGCTGCGCCTCACTCGATCTGCCAGTCGATCGGCGGCAGCCCCGAGCGCCGCAGCAGCTCGTTGGTCTGCGAGAAGTGGCGGCAGCCGAAGAAGCCTCTGCTGGCTGACAGCCCCGAGGGGTGGGGCGACTGCGGTGGTGACATAAGCAAAGGCGGGGCGGAATCGGGGAGAGGCAGCGCGAATTGTTAGGCGGGGACGTGGGGCCGCAGAGCAGCCTCCAGCGTGGGCAGCACAGCTTGCCTTTCCTCATGGTTGTGGCGCACATCCAAGAGGCGTCAGATAAGCAGGTGAGGTGCTGCCCCTGTGGCCTATGTTGGGAGTCAGGCATGCCAACCTACATAGGGGCCACAGCCAGCATCATGTTAGCCCATGCCGCACGCGAGTTCACGCTTCATAGCGACCCACCTTCAAGACGTGGTGGCGGCTGGTGTCCACACCCTGGCCCCTGTCCTGAGCAAACTTGCCCCTGGAGTGACGGCGAGGCGCGTCGCGTGCGGAAGCGCAAGGCCCAGTGACGCGCGGTGCGTCAGGAGGTGCGCAGAGACGCGGCCGAAATGAGGGTGTGCAGGGTGCCCTCGTCAACCGTTGGATCAGGAAGGCAGAGCGGCGTAGCCCTAAGTCACAGCTGACGCGTGTGGCAGGCCGCGCACCACAGCAGGAACACGATGCCGCTCCGCCGCTGCGACAGCGCTGCCACTGCAGCCGCCGTGAGCGGCGCCCAGCCGGCCTTGGAGTGGCTGTTGGCCTCGCCCGCGCGGACGGTCAGGGACGCGTTGAGCAGGAGCACGCCCTGGCGGCACCACTGCGGTGCAGAGGCGGCGGCAGGGGGCAAGAAGGTCAGCTTGCGGCTGGCTGCAAACAAGAAGCGGAGGCGGGGTTGAGGCGTCACCCCGCGTGGCGACACTCCTGAGCCCTCAGGCCCGCAAGGCACCCATTGACGAGGAGGCCAAAGCCGAATAAGCCCCCCGCCTGCCTTTTCGAGATTGCCGTGGTTGGGCACTCGGCATCCGAGGTCAGTCGAAAGTTCCCTGCAGGGGTTGGTGCATGAGTCTGGGATCAGCTCATCATGAGGGGACGCCGTGGGCGAGCGCGGGCCGCACATCCCCCCGTATGCAGCTAGGATGGGCATGCGGCGTCGCCCCTTGGTGCAAATCGTCCCCCGTCCCCGAGAGCCGCGTGCAAGTGCCACGTCACGCACCACCCCTCTTGAGAACGTCCAGATCGGACGCAGCCGTTTCCCGCGGCCCCCTACACAACACCACAGGTGCCCCTGCCCTGCCGCCCCTTCCCCCGCGGCCTCACTTGTAGATATTGCGGAGGCTCGAGGGCGTGTTGACGCCGGGCGGCACGCTGAAGGACAGGCCCATGGCCTCCCCGGGGTTGAAGTACGGGTCCTGGCCCAGCACCACGACACGCACCTGGCGGGGCCAGCGTTTGGGGG